TGAGCCAGGGCCGCACTCCAACCGCAGCAGGTAGGGGCTCGGAGGTTAATTTTAGAAGTTGTGAAAAATCAAGGAAGCTGAGCACGAGGAGGGCTGAGGGACAGCGCAGCATGGAGGAGAATTTGGCATAAACCTGAGACTTTTTTTTTTTTAACGGTTCTCAGGATTACATTATCACACTTAGATCACAGCATCTACAGCGAGGGGTGCGGCTTGATTTGGCTCTCGTGTGAGGGTTGCTTTCTTGCTAGCTGAAATCCGAAAGTTTAGAGTCACCTTCTACCTTGAGAGAACGTGGTTGATCGGCAAGTGCTAGGAACTCTGGCGCTGATGTCCCTGGCACCTTAGCCGAGCAAGTGAGCGCCTCAGACGTGGGTCTCCTCTCCTGATAGGCAGCTGGTCTAACTGTGCCTTTTCTAGCGAGAGCCACAAATCCGAGCGAGAAGCTGATTTCAAATGTGCCGTTGCTTACGGCTGTTCCTACCTGGGGCCAGCCGCATTCCAGTACATGGGGTGGGGTGGACTGGCTGTAAACGTGGTGGCCTTTAAGCGTCTGGGCATGCTTGGAGGGAAACAGAGAGCAGAAGGATGGGGACAGGTCGACTTGCCCATAGCAAAAGGGCTGAAGAATGCGCTAGCGTCCTGCCGGGTCCCGTCATCTCAAAAGTCGTGAACCGTGGACCTCGGGATGCCTTTCTCAGACCGATCCGTTTTAGACTGGCTGTGACTCGTTCTTCAGAAGCCACGTTCCTGACACTCGGGGATGGGGACAGAAAGGAGAAAAAAGATGGGGCTACAGTGAAGTGTCACAGCTGGCTTCTGGCGGCCGCCGAGCAGATAATACGAACACATCCGCCATCTCCACACGGAGAGCACTGCCAGTGATGAGGACTGGGAAATGCCAGGGTTGGCAGAGGCAGCGATTGGTTGCAGCTCATTTGAGAACAGGCTGCAGGATTCGGAGGAAGAGCCGAGCTTCCGTGCCAGAAGTCTTGCGAGGTTCAGGAAATAGCTCAGGGAAAGGCTGCTAATGCTGCAGGATAGCTGTGTCCGTGAGATTCTCTTTGAAGTGACTACGGATCATTAATCAGGGAGATGCTTTCACGGGTAAATGCAGAGTTAGGGATAACTTTACGCGAAGCATAATAGGCTGCAGGCATTTCCCCATGTCCTCACCCCACGAAGCCCAGTGCCTTGTAGATAATTGACGAGGGGGTGCTGAGGAGGTGATACTTGATGCTGGAAGAAGCGTGGCGATGGCGGTGACGAGCCTACGTCATGGGCCAGACACTGAGCCAAGCAGCATACGCAGCTTATCTTATGTAATCCTCGCACCAATCCTATGGGGCTTGTGTATGCCCGCCTTACCCGGAGGAAACAGGTGCAGAAACGTGAAGGCACAAGGCCAAAGCCACAGAGGCAGGGATGCAGCAGTGCTGAGCTGAGACCGTGTTGCTGAGAGCTCACACTCTGATCGGCCGCCCTATACTTCCTCCCCGAGGTCCCATGAGACAAGGAGCATCTAGAGAATGTGGTCTCTGGGGGGTGCTTGGGGAGAACTGGCATCCTTTCCTGGTTTCCCTTTCTGCTGGTCGTGCCCCTGGCGCTTCAAGGTCCCAGGCGTTTGGGCAGAGGACTCTGCCGTGGGACTCTGTCCTCAGGGCTGCTGTCCTTCCTCGGTGGGCACATGGTGCAATGGCTGCACCAGAGTTAGGAAGAACGTGTGCTCTCTCTCTTCCATGCGCTCTCCTCCTGCACCGGGGCTCCCAAGTCTTCGTCCATTTTTAGGTGTTTTGGGTATTTGCACCGCAGGGATAACTCTGATATGATACACACAAGGGAATAGAAGTGCCACAAGAGCAACTCTGTCACCAGGAAGATGTCTGAGTTCTCCGTCCTGGTCTGGGTTTCGTTTCATGCTGCTCTTGCAGGTTTTCAGCTCACCTGAAGTAGAGAAAGCACAGGCCGCCTCAGGGTCACTCTTTGGATGTTGATTGTGTTGATGACAATGATATTGATAACTCACATGCATTTTCTAAATACTAGTGCCTTTACTAATGCAGTTAAGCCTCCAAATACCCTGCAAGGTAAATGTCATTTTTTCCCCCCATTTCTGCTCTGGGGGGCATTATCAGTGATTGACAGAGATAGGACGCAGACCCAGGCTGGTCTGACACCAGGCTCTGGCTCTCAGCTGCTGCAGGACAGGGCAGTTCCCTGCTTAAAACCCCCTAATGGTTTTTCCAATCTCATTCCATCTAGGATTATATGCTGTAGCAAAATAACTTTAGTTCCTTGTGCACACTGTGCTTTTGTTTTTCTTTTTTTTTTCCTTCCAGGTCTTTGTATGTGTTGTGCCCCTGCCTCTGAATTCCAACTTAGATGGCTCTTCCTACTGGAAGCCTGCCCAGCCAGACAGCCCTTAGTTTGGGTCAGGTGTCCCCATCCTTTCTGCCTGTAGCCGCATCCTAGCATTTACCGTAGTCTACTTTTGTGGCCTCCTTCACACTCTACCTCTCCCACTTAACTGTAGTTATCTTGTATCTCCATCACCTAATCCATAGGCAAGGATTAAAAGTTTTAATTAATCAATTAATATAATCCATATATGAGACTATAATAATTTTTACTACAAGCATTATAGCTGTGGTACAGATTTTAAATATTGAAGTTATTTATCAGCATTGTTATTTACATCAGATTTATTTGCCTCTCTCCATGAGATCCCTGTGGCAGATATATTAGATCAGAATTAAACTGAACCTGTAGCTGTCTGACCATTTTCTAAGAGAATACCATACAGCGAAGTTATTGAAATCCTCTCTCCCACGATCCCCAAAACAGACAAACAAAAAGTCCATCTTCTTAGACAACATACATACATATAATAGACTGAAGTACCTATCTATAAACTCCAGAGTTCTGCTGGTCTTTTGCATATGTCTGTTTTTGAGAATTATTGATATTTGATATTTTTCCTCCTATATTTTCTTCTAGAGCTTTTATAAATCTTAGTTCTTACCTTTAGGTCTATGATCCATTTCTAATTAATTTTCATATATGGTGTGAGGTAAGGGTCAAGGTTCACTTTTTTCCAAATGGATCTCCAGTTGTTCTAACACTCTTCTTTCCTCCATTGCATTATCTTGGTACTTTTGTCAAATATCAGTTGACCACAGATATGCAGGTCTGTTTCTAGATTCTGTTTTGTTCCATCATTCTTTGTCTATACTTAACGCCAATACCACACTGTCTTGGTTCCTGTAACTTTATAGGAAGTCTTGAAATTAGATAATATAAATTAGCTGAGGAGGCCAAGGCAGGCAGATCGTTTGAGCTCAGGAGTTCAAGACCAGTCTGAGCAAGAGCGAGACCCCGTCTCTATCAAAAAAAATAGAAAAAATTAGCTGGGCATGGTGGCACATGCCTGTGGTCCCAGCTACTTGGGAGGCTGAGGCAGAAGAATTGCTTGAGCCCAGAAGTTTGAGGTTGCTGTGAGCTAAGCTGATGCCATGGCACTCTGGCCTGGGCAACAGTCCGACACTGTCTCAAAAAAAAAAAAAAAAAGTATGTGTAGGCAATATGTTTTATAAAAAGTATTTATTCTATATAAATAATATTGGCTTTAGAATGGGAAACGTAATATCCAGAGTGGTTTTCATTTTTTTTTTTTATTGTTTTTTACTTTTTTTTTTATTCCTTTTTTTTTTTTGTGTTGCAAAGTTAAGGTATTAGGTTTTCATTTTTGAATGAATAATTTTCTAGAACTTTTCCGGTTCCCTTAGTTTGAAAGAGCACTATTTATCCACCTGGCCTTTGTATGAGGCTGTGCAGGAGCTACACGGGCACAGCCAGGGCTCAGGAGTGTTAGAACCGAGGCTGCGAAAGGGGTCTTGGAAGAGCACTCTTCAGAGAGTGCAGCAAAGATTCGGACTTGCACAAAGTCACACAAGAAGAACTAAGATTAAAACGTGCCAGTGGTCTCACTTTGTGCTGCTCACCCGGCCCCATAGACACACAGAGGGGCGTTGGTAGATGCAGCAAGAGACAGAATATTAGTTTGGACCAGACAAAATTACTGTTCAGGAGTTCAAAAAAGGTCGAATATCAGGATTTCCCTGTGGTTCTCCTGTGACGTAAATCCTCAGTCAAAGTCAGGTTGGTGGCGAGCTACTTGGAGTTTGCACGGAAAATGGACAGCATCTCATGGTCGCTGGCAAGAAGGTTGGCGTAGGGCCGCTCCAGGAATGAGTGTGCTCGGGAGAAGGTGGGATGAGGAGAGACCTCTCGGGAGATTTGCTTGAGGGAACTTTAGGGAAGGAGGGATCTGCGAGACTCTGAGCACAACCCTTCCCTCCCAGTGACCCTGAGGAGGGGCGTTTCCCCGGGTGACAAAGCCCGTTGTGAGGGGGAACTATGTTGTGAGTGCTGAGGTGCCAAGTCGCTTGTAAAATAGACTTTCTCTTAGTTCTGACTTATATTTTCCCTTGTTGAGTTAAAGACAGGTAGAAAGGTATTCTCAGCCTCTCACCATGGCCAGAGAAGCATGGGCCAGTGCTTCTGTTTGGTCACCTGCTGTCTGTCCTATGGAGTCACAGTTTTTGAGGTGTCTTTAGGGTCTGCCCGAAGGTCAAAGGGTATATTTAATAAATGCAAGAAGATAATATTTGAAGCCCACTTTCTAAAGCTTATCTTTTTTTTTTTTTTTTAACCTAGGCGTCAATAATTTGCTCGTAAGCTATTGGTCTGACCTTGCTGAGTGAATTATCCTTCTGGCTGTCTGACTTGTTCTCCTGGCGTCTTTTTTTGTCACTCTCTTCCTGTGTGTGTGTGTGTGTGTGAGAGAGAGAGAGAGAGCGAGAGTGAGAGCGAGCATGTTTTTCTTTCCCTTTCTCCTTCCCTCTCTTTGTCTCTCTCTCGTATCCAAAATTTTGGACTTTGAACAGAGATATGTGCAGTTGAATTCATGTGTGGTGCCTTTTTCCTTTTCGCTTTTCCAGTTCCTCCGGGAGTGATCCAGAACGGAGCGCGGGTTCTGAGCCGAGGCCTGTTTCCTGGCGTGCGGCCGCTGCCCATCACGCCCATCGGGATGACGGCCGCCATGAGGTGAGGGAGCGGCGACGGCAGCATCTGTCCGGGGGCCCCTTCCAGGGACGGAGAGGACCAACCTCAAGCTAGTTAGTGGTCTGGTGTTCAGAAATGCTAAAGTAACCCCAGAAGCCCCAGTCCAAATGCCAGCTTCTTCTAGGGCCACCAAGGTATCTGGTCTCTTTACAGATGAGGGGATGGGGACAAGTTAAAGTAAGTTTTTTTTCTAAGAAAGCAGGGTAACATGGGTAGAAGGAAATGGCAGGCCTGTTGTTAATTAGATGCTAAGCTAACGGGTCTAGCTCTAGACCCAGCCCTGTCATGTCCCCATCCTGTGGCTCTGGGCTGGTGCCTGACCCATCTGGAGCTCAGCTCTCTCATCCGTGAAACTCCCGTGCCTCCTAGGAGGGCTTGCAGTGAAATCAAGTGCAAAATCACGTGCAGAGCGTGCTTTGGTAAGTGGTCTATAAATAGCAGGTGGCATCATTCCCCTGCCTCCCAGAATCGGGCCGGTTGCCAAACCACATGAACTTGTCCTTGGGACCTTTCTTTCCCCCATGCTCATCTCCACTGCCAGCCCCAGCCCCAGGTCCTCTGCTAGCTTGGACCCTCACGTGCACTATCGCTGAAGCCTCCTCCCATCTGCTGGCTGCTTCTCCACTCTCGCTTGCCCCCACCCGCCGGCCACCGCCAGGCCAGCTTCCTGTAACTCGCCTCTCCAGCCATCTGCAAAAGTGCCTGCCGTGACTCCCACTGCATCACCCCGACACTCCCCCAGTCTTCCTTTTTCCTCGAGCCAAGTTTGCTCCCCAATTCATACGTGCATGCAAGTGTATATTCATGCAGCTCCCTGTGCGTAGGTTTCTCTCTGCCTTCACGTGCAAGGCGGCAGGTCCTTCAAGACCCATCACAAAGATGATTCCTTCCCAGCGCTTTTCTGAACATGGCCTCTGAACCAGCGTCAGATGCATTTCTCTCTGCTGTGAACTCATCAGCCCCAGGCTTCGCTTGTGGCTCTTTGATGTGTGGCCCTGGATGACAGCAGTTTCCCTGCATGTCCCCGTCTGTCCTCAGTGGTCTGCTTACTGAGGATGGGGACTGATGCTTCACCAGCCATCGTGCCGTGCCGGGCCTGGGCTGCTCATTTAGAAAAGACCTGTCTTGCTGAGCTGCCTCCCTTCCCGACTATAAATACCCCTTTCCTGTCTTCTGCGTGTCTGGATCAAGTCTGCTCCTGAAGGCCATTTTGCTGTCACAGTGTTTCATGTCCCGAAGGGAGCCATCCCCGCAAGTCTGGTTAGCTTGGCCTGAGGGAGATGCAGAATCAGACTTCTTGCGTGAACAGCCATGTGGAGCTTCTCCACGACCTTGTGTCTTTTGACTCTTCCAGCAAACCAACCTACTTTTGCCAGGATGGAAGTCACTGAGTCTTCAGGGCAGACTTGGTGTGTAAGACGTGAAAAGGAGGGACATTGTTAGGAATTAGAACAGGTATAGGTTATAAAACCTCATATCATTTCTACTAACCTGACAAGGGGATACTTTCCAAAAATACTTGGGGTCTTTTTCTTACACTTCTCCACTGTCTGTCTTGGTTACCCTTAGATCAGTAATTATTTTTTTGTTTTTGATTTTTTAAAAAAAATTAGTCTTGTACGTGGACAGAAGACAAAATATAAACAAAATAAATTAGGTGACATTCAGAATCTCTTCCTTGTGAATCGCCTTTTAACTCGTCATATGAGTTTGTTTTCACATGATGTGGTCTTTATGCTGTTGAGAGCAATGGTGATGAGCATTTAATTAAGAGTGTCCCACCATTGACTCTGGAATTTTCTTCACAGACTCTGACAACCATCAGTCAAGTCTGATGCTGATGTCTTCTTGGTTGATGGAATTCCCAGTGGCTTTCAGATCCCAACTGCTTCTTGTGTGGCTCTCTGACTAAAATTAATTCTTGAGTTCCTAAGTGATGCGCCTCTTCCATGAAACCAAAACACCAGTGCCCTTGCCTCGCATCGTGAAAGAGACAGATTCTGATTTTCATTCTTCTTAGGCTCTTCCCTGTCTCACCTCCTAGTTTACCTTTCTGGTCGAGTTGACTTTGAGACTGTAGACTGCTTGCACTTGGACCGACAGTGTGTTTTCATTATCAGATTCTAAACGCAGACCTCCAGTTTATCATCTTCACCATTCTTTTTTAGTGCTTTGAAGAGTCGCTTTCACTGGGGGGTCCCGCCATTCCCCGGGGAAGGGCACAGAAGAGCGGGCAGACCACGGTTTGACGTCCAGCAGGGGCTGCCTTCTAATTGCATAATTATTACTCTCGTGGCATATATTGTGGCACATCATACTGATTAGTGCCTTCTAGAGACCTTATTTTCAATATTGATGATTTTTTCTGGTTAGAAGATAACAAAGCACTATAACAAAAACCATGAAGCTGTGTTTCTGTTTAAAGAGCTGCCACTCACCCAACCCAGTGAGCCCCTCTCTTGTTCTCCCTCCAAAGTGAAAGGCCACAGAACAGTTTCTGGGCCAGACTTATGCTCCAGTTGGGTCCAGTTAGGAGACAGAAACCATACCAGGTGTTTGAACAGAGAGACTTTAACGTAAAGCACTGTTAAGCAGGTAGAACGTTATTAAGCAGGTAACTGAAAGGGTGAAAAGAGAACTCGGGATATCATGGAGGGAACAACTGCAGGAAGCAGCTACCACCTGGAGGGCAGAGGGGACAAAGGGAAGAGGTTGGAGTGATTGCAACAGACCTCTGTGGAGGGTGGGGCGCTGGGGTCCGGACCTCTGGGGAGGAGGCCCCGATGGTGCTGGCGCCTCCAAGGGAACGGGGTTCTGCAAGCGTTGGAAAAACTGCAAACTGGATACAGCAGCTACTACAGGAGTGAATGCTGCTGCCACTGGGGTGCAGAGGCATTGCTGGGGTGGCACAGGGACTGGAAACAGGCAGGAGGGAGTCCCTGCTTCACCCTCACAGTCTCTCTGTGGCACCCCCTGGTGGCGGAGACTAGCATGGAGCCAAGCGGTAAAGCAAAATGTGGCTTGCCCAGCCCAGCCCTCACCCTGGCCCCAGAGTAGGAAAGGATGTTGAGGCTGGGTTTGAGGCCGAGTGACAATAGCTTTGTAATTGCATGGCTTGCCCGATGTCTGTCCAAAACCATGCACGGTCTAATGAAAGAGTGAGCTTCCTGGACATGATAGGAGTTTTGAGCAAAGTCATTTTGGTAAAATGTGCAACCATGGTTTACAGAAACTAGACAAGTTATCATCTGCATAAATAGAGATCACCAGTAAAGAAAACCATTGTGATTCTCAGTCAGTTGTCCAAATACCAATTCTGTACCTGCTCCCTTAGTTTTAAGGGAAATTATGGGGAGATAGGTAGTGAGCTCTGTGAGATTAGGGATGCATGCTCATAATATCTTTGCCTTGTATTTGTAGGGCAAAGAGTGGGCACTGAGATGCTTTCAGAAAGAACGAACACAAACATAGCTGCGTAGACATTTGCATAATCAGTGTCAGTGTAAAACCCATTAAGAAATGTTGGGGGGGGGGATTTTGTTTTGCTCTTTCACATTCATTGTAATTTAATGATTTTTTTTCATTTGGCCACATGTCAGTTGAACCTAAACTCAGCCGAGGTTAAAAGGAAAACAGCCCGGTAGAGAACAGAACAACACTGAATACTGTCGGCTAGAACACATGGCCTTGCCCAGGGTTCCTGTGGGTGTTCCCGTGTTTACAGCGCTTGCCTCCCCCCTCTGTTCAGCAGAGGCCTAGGGAGGGTGGGGAGTCATTAGCACCCACTAAAGACCAATTTCCTACTCTCCTTTGTGTGACAGGTTTTCTGTGTGAGTCTAAGTGACTTCTCCTTAAGTGAAAATATTTATCTTTCGGGGATTTTTTTTTTCCCCTCCACTGAGTGGCAAAGGCCATGTTTGTTTGTCTTAACTCTGAAACTGTTATTGACATAGATGAAGTGTTACTTTTATTAGCTGATCATTACACAGCTTCTATTTGCTGGGTTCCTTTGCATATAATTATGATGTGAAATCTCCTTGTAAGAGTATCTGTCAATAGTGTAATTGACTTTACGGTGTTGACTTTTTACTCAATAACCTCAGAGATTGGCCCATCCTTAGATGTTGGAAACCTGCTTATTTTTAAATTTGTCTGGGCGTCAAATCCTCAAGACACATCATCCTCAAAATAACTACCCACACGTCTTAAAGCACGCAGCTGCTTTCCCAGTAAAATCCCTTGCAGAGATTACATTGAATGGAACAAATGATTATAGCCCTGCGAAAACTGTTGCTGGCCTTCCTGGGAAACAGGAGCCACAAGTTTCTTATGTTTGCAGTGGGAAGGGGTCAGGCCATTGCAGCTCTCCTGGGTCTGCACCCCTTGCTTTTAACTATTAGGGCTCTTTTTGACCCCCATGTGCTGACTCAGATGGCAGAGGAGAATGAAATGTCCAGGGCTTGCCAGAGAGGATTGGGAGAGAGCTCATGGGAGGCAGGCCCTTCCTATGGCAACAGAGCCCAAAAGCTATGTGCATGAACTCAGGAACCAAGTTTCCTGGGTCCATATCCTATAGCTATGTGACCTTGGGCAAATGCACATGGGCTTCTCATGAGGAAACCTGTATCTGCCTCATGGATTATTATAACACACAGTTAAGTGCCTTGCACATAGCATTATGCAGGCGTTTGATAAACAAATGGTGTGGATTCACCCAGCCTGCCCTCTGTGGACACATGCCCTTTCTGAGCACCTGAAGCTAAGCCCCAAACCTCAGGAGAAGGTTTAGACTGAACTTATGCCCACTTGCAGCACAATGTACCCATCAGCACTGAGGGGTGTGACCATAGTCTGGATTACTAAGTCTAGACCACAGCATGTTACAAAATTATAAGAAAGTTCCATTTAATCACCATCTAAAGCTGCTTAACTTTATTTGGATGTCCAAGGACCTCAAGTGAAAACAGCAATGCCCATGGAAC